AAATTTTGTATTGTCAGCGGGTTTTTTTTTTTTTTTTTTTTTTTTTTTTAAGAGAGTTTTTTGCTATAGGGTATGTGTGCTCACCAGAGAAACAGATGGAGAAACAGAAAGCGAGAGATCATCCCCCAGGGGGATGGCCATGCCGCAATCCCTCCTTCATTTTTCTTTCAGAATTTTGGGCACACACGCACATGCACTCAGCATGAGTTTGAAGCAGCCAAAGTCCAGGACTCAAACCGTGATCAACTATGTGAGGGTCCAGCGATATAACCGTTATGCCATCCGCTGGGGTTTTTAATGGATGTGGAACTTCCTTAAGTGATACAAAACAGTTGCATTCTTTTTTTCTCTAATTATTCTAATGCATTATTTTAATCTTACATTTGTTAAATTAAGAAACATTTTGGGATATCTGTCATCACAAACTCTTGGAGAGGTCTCTATTAAGGATCTTCTATAAAAGTCTTAGCATCCCTGTCTTATAAGGAAAAAGGAGTTGTGATACTTGATTCCTTTATGCCTGAGGCTGTTACAAATGCAGCTGTGGAAAGGAAGACAACTGTCTTTGAACTTTTCATGTCTCTAGATTTGTCTTCGAAGTTTTCATTTCTCTAAATCTGGCTCTCCCAACCCCACTTTAATTATAGCAGGGCTTACCCATTATTCCTTCAATCTTTGTTATCTGTAGCTTTAGAAGATGAAGACAGCAAAAAAGATGATGGTATCTCATTCAGTAACCAGACAGGTCCTGCTTGGGCCGGCTCAGAAAGAGACTACACTTATGAAGAGGTAAGACAAATCTGTTTTGAGAAAGGGCTGTTCGTTGGAGCTTTGTCAAAGGAAAACAAAATAAATAAATGCTCCCTGGACTGGAAGGGCCATTGAGATAAAAATCAATAGTGAAGCAGAGACAGGAAGGTCATAGCCAGTGTATAGCATTTTCTGATGTATACCTGTAGGGCAGCCTGCCCAGAGTATGGTGGTATTGGAGTGCTTACTATGCCCTCCTGAATTCTTGGGCTCTAAGAGTGTGGAGGCATCTGGGGATCAGGTGGTGAACTTGGGACTAGGGTTATTTGGAGTTACTTGGGCTTTCCTGAATCTTAATTTTTCTAAGTATCATATACTTCCCTGTAGAAACAGTGTAATTAGTTTGGGCTTGTTTGTTCATTTAACTTTGAACAGAAATTTACTTTGTTCCTAATGGACTAAATCCTGGTTGGTGTTGAGTCTCTGCCCTCAAAGAGCTTCCAGAACACGTATAGCATACGAATATTTAGTAAAAGGAAGTGTCCTCCATTAAAGTGACTCAAATAGGAACTTCATACTCTTGCCATTAAGAATGTGCATGCTTTATTTCTGTAGCTACTGAATCGAGTGTTTAACATCATGAGGGAAAAGAATCCGGATATGGTTGCTGGAGAGAAAAGGAAATTTGTCATGAAACCTCCACAAGTTGTCCGAGTAGGAACTAAGAAAACTTCTTTTGTCAACTTTACAGATATCTGTAAACTGTAAGTTGGTTAATGGAGAGCCTCCATCCCAAATACCAGATTCTCAATGGAATTTTAAGGAAGTTAAATGCTCTTATTGTGGACTTTATTGCGGTAAAAAGAGTGAGTTCATAGTTGTAGGGATTAGGTTGAAAGAAGTCACTCTTCATTGGTTCTTTCAGTTCATAAGGACTTGGGCTCATTTTCTCTGGGCATCAAAAGTCGATTCATGCTAGCCCATGAGAGTGGATGCTAACCAGATGGAGTAAAGATTGAGGAGACTGAATCTAGTCTTCAAACAGGAATCTGGAGAGCCCAGGGAAGTGGAAAAGTTTTATTCTGGCTGTAATGGGCCTGGCAACCAAGCAGTGAGCTCTGGGAAAGTGACTGAATTCAGTGTACCTCTTCCTTAGATAGTGGTTGTCAGGACACGAGATTTCACCTTTTTTTTTTTGAGATTTTTGGTATATGGTATGTGCGCTTGCTGGAGATACAGAAAGCAGGAAATCATCCCCCAGGAGAATGGCCATGCCACAATCCTGTCTCCATTTTCCTCTTGGGATTTTGGGCACAGACACACATATGCCGTGTGTGAGTTTTGAGCCACCAGGTCCAGTACTTGAACTGCAGCTGACTACATGGGGGTTCAACTGCTTAACCATTATGCTATCTGCTAGTCCCAGGTCAGTGTATCAAGGCCTGAATTTTTTCAGCTCCTTAGCTAAACCTTTCCTGGCAGATTCCTTAAACCGACTGACTTTATCTACTATTTCTTCAGTTTCATAAGTGATGCATACTTGTTGCTGAAAAAATGATAAAAACAAGAGAGTCACTCAGAATTCTGCCAAGAGATTACTACTTGTTTTCATTACTTACAGAAAAATTTTAAATTGTTTTATTAGACTTTTTTGCTGATGATAGCAGTGGTATATGTTCACTACAGAAAAATTAGGAAAGACATGCTAAAGAAAATGAAAAATCATTTGAAAATCCACCACTAATTGGTAGATAATGGTAGTTTAATATTTTTTATGTTTAACCAGTTTTATATGTATATTCTTAAACTGGTATCATAGGTTTTTAACCCATTTTCTCTATATTACAAAACTTACTCATGTCATTAAATAGTCTCCATAAGTGTTTTAAGTATTAATAGTCATATAACATACTCTGATAGCTCTTTAAGTTGGACCTGATTTCTCCTAGGTTTTCATTGTCAGAGGCAAAGTTCTAGGGACCATCTTTATACCTATGTCTTTGCAGTATGCAGTAGTGCAGAGTAGAGTGTTAGGGCAAAAATTTCCAACATGGAATTGCTGAGTTAAAAGGAATCTTTTTTTTTTTTTTTTTTGCGATGGGGCGTGTGCGCTTGCCAGCCAGAAAGACAGAGAGACAGAAAGCAAGAAATCACCCCCCGGGGGGATGGCCACACCACAATCCCTTCTCCTCCATCCTCTCAGGCTCTTGGGCATGCATATACACGCACGCAGTGTGAGTTCAAACCACCAGGTCCGAGACTCGAACCGCGGTCGACTACATGGGAGTCCAACAACATAGCCATTATGCCAACTGCAGGTCCCAGGAATCTATGTTTTTATACCAAACATTGTCATGTTGTTTCCCAGCAACTTTGTGCCAGTTCATACTTCCACCAACAATGTAGTAGTTTACATGTTTTTCTCCTGACCAACTCTCACCGAGTACATTTTACAGAAAAATGATAATACTAGTACCTACTTATTGGAATAAATTCAAACAGTGCCAAACATACAGCTTTAAAAATGAAAATGTCGGGGCCAACTCCATGGATGGGTGGTTAAGGCCGCCAGATTCCACATGGCTGACTGCATAGTTCAAGTCCTGGACCCAGCAGTTGGAGAAACACACTGGACACATGTGAGCGCATACCCCAGATCCTGAAAAGTAGGGAGAGATGGAGAAGAGATTGCCGTAGGACCATTTTCCTCAGGGGTACTTTCTTCTCTTTCTTTCTCTCTTGTTTCTCTGGTAAGCATAGGTACTCTTAAGCCAAAAAAAAAAAAAAAAAAGAAACAAAGGCATTGCTCTGTGTGCTTTTTAAATTTTATATGCATATATCCTTTTGGTACAGTAGAAACCTGTTTTGTTCTAAAAGCAGTATAGTATACCAGTTTATTTAACCATTATCCAAGGTAAGTATCTGAGCTGTTATATTTTTCTGCTCTTATGCTACCATGAAATACATTTCCTTTATTCATCTTTTAATGTCAGAGACTGCATGTGAGATAGAGAAAGTATCCTCTCCCTCACCCCCAATGGGGCCCGGTCATGCCATCATTCTTTCTCCTGCAGTTCTCCATCCCATCAAGATCCTGAGCATATGCATGTATGCCTAGCGTTTCTTAGCCTGCCAGAGTTTGAACCCTAGTCAGTTTATGTGGATCTGACTTCTTGTGTGTAGCACCTGACTGCTGCACTATTGGGCTGGTCCTAGTTCCTTTTTTTCTTAATGAAACGGTAAATATATAGGGAGTAATGTAACAAATACCCAGTTGTTCATCACCTTTGTTTGTGGATATTGACCTGACACATCTGCTTTAGATTGTTTTACTTCTTCAAAAAGAATATTTCACAGTTAAAGCTAAGGCTACTAGGACCAGCAGATGGCATAATGACTACATTGCTGGACTCCCATGTGATCAACCGTGGTGAGAGTCACAGACCTGACGGCTTCAAACTCATGCCAGGCACGTGTGTGTGTGTGCTCAAGATGACCAAGGGGAGAACCAGCAGTTAGCGTAATGGCTATATCACTGGACTCTCACATAGTCAACCGTGGTTCATGTCCCGAACCCGGTGGCTTAAAACTCACACCGGGCGCATGTGTGTGCGTGCCCAAGATCCTGAGAGGAGAATGGAGGAGAAGGGATTGTGGCGTGACCATCCCCCCGGGGGATGATTTCTCGCTTTCTGTCTCTGTGTCTCTCTCTGTCTGTCTGGCGAACGCACGCGCCCTATAGCAAAAACCTCTCCAAAAAAAAAAAGAAAAGAAAAGAAAAAATAAAAAAGATGACCAAGGGGATTATTTCTCACTTTCTGTCTCTCCAGTGAGTGCACTTGCCCTATAGCAAAAATCTCTTTAAAAACAATTGGAATAAACAAAAAAAAGGTGAATAAAATAATTCTTTTAAAAAGGGGGGGTCACCAGGTGGCATGGTGGTTGGGGGTCCTGGACTCCCACATGGCTGACTGTGGTTTGAATACTGGGCCTGGCAGCTTGCTGTTTCACTTTCTCTCTCTCACTCTGTCCCTCTCTGGTAAAATAAAAATAAATAAAGTCGAATAAAATAATTTTTTAAAAAACAAAAATAGTTGGGGCTGGCAGATGGCATGATGAAGGGTGCTGGACTCCCACATGGCCCACTGCAGTTTGAATCTCCGACCTGTCGGCTTGCTGCTTGCTTTCTCACTTTCTCTCTGTCTCTCTCACTCCATCCCTCTCTGGTCACTTAAGGCTACTTTTAAAATCTTTTTCCTTTATTCATAATAGAGCTTGTGCACACACACATGTGACAGAGATTGATGAGCACTCTACACAGAGTATACTCCATATCCTGGATCACCTGTGATCCCCTTCCTTCAGTCCTATAGCCTGTCGGATCTTGGGCTCTTGGCACATGTTCCTGGTGTATTTCAGGCTGACCAGCTAGAGATTTGAACTATGGTTGCCATGTGGGAGTCAGCATCTCTTGATGACTTGATGCTCAGCTACACTTTTATCTTTTTCTGATACATTCTTCTTTCCTTCCCAGAGGAAGATGTGACCTTTTATAAATAAAGTTGGTATTGGACTAGCAGGTAGTGTGGTGGTTAAGGTGTTGGACTCCCACATGGCTGACCACAGTTCAAGTCCTGGTGACTTGCTTTTTCACTTTCCCTCTCGCTTTCTCTTTGTTTCTCCCTTTGGTGAGCACTTGTGCCTTATAGCAAACTTAAAATAAAATAATAATAAGTAAAAATAAATTATTTTAAAATAAATAAAGTTGGTGTTTACCTTTCCTATCTATATTTCTGAACATTCATATATGTTTTCATTTGTGGGCATTAAAATTTTTAAAAGTGGTTTCATAAAGTATATAACTTTATGTCAAAATGTAAATGAACTGTACTGAAATTCCCTTTTCAGTTGAATAGTCACAGCTCAAGACTATTAATAGGATGGCTTTTTAGAAGTTTGATCAGATTTCTATGAGATAATTAATATATTCATTTTTCTTTTTAGATTACATCGTCAACCCAAACATCTTCTTGCGTTTTTATTGGCTGAATTGGGTACAAGGTAAGAAAGTGTATTTGTATTTATGTACAGTACTACTACACATTTCATACGAGCCTCTATTATCTTGAAAAGGATATGTGACATACTTAGAAAAAAATATTTGCCTAATTAACAGCAACATTTAGGCCAGTAGAGGAGTGAAATCATTAATTTCTGTGAGGTAGATTGGCTGCTTAGGGGTAGATTACAGAATTGACGGGGCCTCATCTGAACAGGCCTACTGATGTACCAAAATGAGCACTACAGAACTGCCATGTTTTCAATTGCCTGTCACTACTTGTAACTGTTAGGTCTTTTTATGGAGCAAATACTAGATTTCAAAAGAAGCTTTTTTTATTCTCTCTCTCTTTTTTTGTGACTGCCGGGGGGTGTGTGCACTAGCCAGAGAAAAACCAAGACAGGGAGAGAGCACCCTCTCTAGTGTGGTATGGTTATGCCACAATCTCATCTCCTCCATTTCTCCATTCTATCAGGATTTGGGATACAAACTTACCTGTGTCTGGTATGTTGTTCAGGTTGCCAGGGCCAGGATTGGAACCATAGTCAGCCATATGGGATCTGGCTCCCCTAACCATTAGGCTATGGGGGCAGCCCCAGAGGAAGCTACTTTCTTAAGACAGAAATTTTTTTTCTAAATTCTGGCTATTGAAAAAATACAGCTTGTAAACTGGTGAGTGGCATAGGAGAAACCATTCAGACAGGAGTCTGTGATTAAATCTATCCCTGTCATTAGGGCTCACCTGTTCTAGGAAGTGAGTCAGTCTATCTCCATTCAGGGGGGCCAGCATTTCATGGAGCCTGTGCCAATGAGGTTGACTACAAGTGCAGAAAGCCTCAGAGAGCAAACAATTACACAATGCCAAAGGCCATGATTGGCTCCCCTTCAAAACCTCACCTTCAAAACCATACTCTGATTGGCCACTTCCCATAAAGGCCACAATTGGCTCCCCTTCAAAACTTGTCCCATTATTACCCTTATTAAGAGTAAGTGACTTTTGTTACTTACCAGGACGATTCTCTGCCGTCCTTTCTTTCTTTTTTTTTTAGAGGTTTTTGCTATAGGTCGTGTGCGCTTGCCAGACAAACAGAGAGAGACGTAGACACAGAAAGCGAGAAATCACCCCCTGGGGGGATGGTCACGCCGCAATCCCTTCTCCATTTTCCTCTCGTGATCTTGGGCATGCACGCACATGCACCCAGTTGTGAGTTCTAAGCCACTGGGTCTGGGATGCGAACCATGGTTGACTACGTGGGAATCCAGTGACATAGCCATTATGCTAACTGCTGGTTCCCCGTCCTTTCTCGGGACAATTCTCTGCTGTCCCCTTCTTGGGTGCTCTTCACTGGATCCTTCGTACTCAGGTCCCTGTTTAGGCACCACGGGTCCCGACCCAGGGGACAGTCGATCAGGTTTCCTGAGGGAAGGAGTGAGAGACTGGACGAACAACGCAGTGTTACAACTCTGCAGGGTCGTGCGTTTATTGTGGACAGCATGGAGACGACACAGTGTCACAGCTCTTCAGGGTCGTCTGGCAATTGTGGGCCAGGGATCGTGGTTATATACATGCTGGTGGGCAGTGATTGGTTGTCCTATATGCTAATGAAGGATTGTAGAAGGTAGGTTATGATTGGTTGCTTTCGTGTACCAATCATGAGGTGCTGGATATGCAAATCTGAGGGATTCTAAGCTCACCGATTTGCTATGGGAAGTGGCCAATCAGAGTATGGTTTTGAAGGTGAGGTTTTGAAGGGGAGCCAATTGTGGCCTTTATGGGAAGTGGCCAATCAGAGTATGGTTTTGAAGGTGAGGTTTTGAAGGGGAGCCAATCATGGCCTTTGGTATTGTGTAATTGCTCTCTGAGAAACTGAAACCTAAGGTTGATATTGGCTGCTGCGCAGCCTCCCACAGTATAGGGGAAGTTTTCTGACCTCAGAATGGGGAGAAAAGTAAAGAGATTTTGGAAGTCACCCAGCCTCTCTTATCCTCAATTTCTGACTCTAACATGAACATGCAAGATAGAACATTCGCTCTAGTCCTGCTCAGCTAAATACATCTGATTCTGAAGGAGAGGCAGGGGCCTTCTAGTGCCTGATGTCAGCATCTGTGACTGAAAAGAGTAACCATCCTAGGGAGGCCCACCCAGAGAAACCATTTCTCCAGAAGAGAACTCCATGAATCACCCCGTGGGCACTGAGAATGGCCTCAGCAAGCCATGGATTGTTTTCCCCAAACTTTGTTGACTTAATGAATTAGAGGTGTACTCATATATGGTCATTACATATATGTAATGAGTACATACATGTACTCATATACGGTCATTATGCCAAAGCTAACGTCTCCTTTAAAAATGTGGTCAAGGGGCTCCTCAGTGTAATGGCTATGTTGCTGGACTCCCATGTAGTCGACCACGGTTCAAGTCCCAGACCTTGTGGCTTATCCCCCCTGGGGGGCGATTTCTCACTTTCTGTCTCTCTGTCTCTGTCTTTCTGGAAAGCGCACATGACCTGTAGCAAAAACCTCCTCTTTAAAAAAAAAAATGTGGTCGAGCATTTTGAGTTCTGGACCCAGTGGCTTAACCTAAGGCTGGGTGCATGTGCATGTGTGTCCAAGATCCTAAGAGGAGAACGGAGGAGAGGGGATTGTGGTGAGGCCATCCCTCTTGGGGAGTGAGGGGCGATTTCTTGCTTCCTGTCTGTCTTTTCGGCGAGCAGTGCACCCTATAGCAAAAACCTCTATTAAAAAAAAAAATTTAGCGGCCCAGCAGTTAGCATAATGGCTATGTCCCTGGACTCCCATGTAGTCAGCCACAGTTTAAACCACCGGACCCAATGACTTAAACTCATGCCAGACACATGTGCGTGCGTGCGTGTCCAAGATCCTAAGAGGAGAATGGAGGAGACGATATTGCGGTGTGGCCATCCCCCCTGGGGGTGTGATTTCTCCCTTTCTGTCTCTCTGGTGAGCGCATGTGCCCTATAGCAAAAACCTTTCAAAAAAGAAAAGAAAAGAAAAAATTTGGTTGAGGGTGACCAGCAGATGCCATAATGGTTATGTTGCTGGATTCCTGTGTAGTCGACTAGAGTTCAAGTCCAGGATCCAGCAGCTTAAACTCATGCTGGGCATGTGTCCCGAAAATACCTAGAGGAAAATGGAGGAGAAGGGACTGTGGCGTGGCCATGCCCCCTGGGGGATTATTTCTCACTTTTTGTCTCTCTGGGCAAGCGCATGTACACAAAAATCTCTCTCAGCTTTTTTTTTTTTTTTTTTTTTTTTTGTCACACACTGACCAAGTAACCTAGTGGTTAAGGGAGCGTGGATCTCACACAGTGAATTATGATTCAAATCCCTTCCCCGGTGGCTTGAGAAACACACTGGGTACATGTACCTGTGTGCCCAAAATTCCAACAGGATGGAGAAATGATGAGATTGCAGTGTGATCATGACCCATGGGGAGTTGCTTTCTCTTTGTCTCTCTGTCTGTTTCTCTCTGGTAGGTGCATGTACCCTCTGGCAGTTTAAAAAAAAATGAAAAAGGAATGAATAAATAAATCGAAAAAAAAAAAAACCACCTTAATATCCATGTCTGTACTGGCAGTAGAGAGATAATTAAGGTATTCTGTTTTCTTCTTACTCTTAAAATTCACAGTTTGGTTTGCTATAGAGTTGAGTAATTTACTTGATAATAGATATCTAGGCTCTAGTGTAGAATTGTATTTAAAATTAAATTTGTTACAATCGTTATTTTTAACTTGCATTAGACTAATGAAGGAGCAAAAGCTAGTGGTGGTTTCTGTACTTCTGAGAATAATTTATACTTTTTAAATGGAAATGGGGTGAATTGTCACAAATTATGTTAAATTTTTATGACTGGTGACCTTATAGTCAGTGGGTTAAATAATATAGGGGTGTTGATGGGACCAGCAGTTGGCGTAAGGCTATGTCGCTGGACTTCCATGCAGTCGACTGCAGTTCGAGTCCCGGACCTGGTGACTTAAACTCACACCACGTGCATGTGTGTGCATGCCCAAGATCCCAAGAGGAGAATGGAGGAGAAGGGATTGCGGTGTGGCCATCCCCCCTGGGGGATGATTTCTTGCTTTCTGGCTCTCTTTCTCTCTTTCTGTCTTTCTGGTGAGTGCACACACCATACAGTAAAAACCTTTTCTCCCCTCTCCCCAAAAATAGGGGTGTTGAGAAAATTAATTTCTTTTGACAGTGAATGAAAAAAATTTCTTCCATCCAGCATTGGAATCACCATAGCCTGGAGATTAAGGGTTACAACATGGAGCATGATATTGAATCCTTATAGTTAAAGGAGAATCACAGGAGAGATTCTTACAAAAGTCAGTTTTATGATGAGATATGAAACAAATATAAATCTGATTCTACCTGACTTGAGTGTTTTTGTTTCACTTTGTGATTTGTAATTTTTACAAATGATAATGTCTACTGCACCGTCTTGCTTTCTCTCAAGTGTTTGTCAACGGCTTCTCAAAAAGTTTATCATTTATAATTTGTGACCTGTGATTTCAACTCTACTTTTTTGGTAATGGCTTTATTGAGATAACAACTCACACCTTTAAAATACAGAATTCAGAAGATTTTTTAAATGTTCACACATTATAGTTAATATGTAAATTAAAATTAATATGTACCACAGTTTTGGTATTTTTCATCAGCTATACATTTTTTCATACATATTTTTAATTTACTTGATAATAGATATCTAGGCTCTAGTGTAGAATTGTATTTAAAATTAAATTTGTTACAATCGTTATTTTTAACTTGCATTAGACTAATGAAGGAGCAAAAGCTAGTGGTGGTTTCTGTACTTCTGAGAATAATTTATACTTTTTAAATGGAAATGGGGTGAATTGTCACAAATTATGTTAAATTTTTATGACTGGTGACCTTATAGTCAGTGGGTTAAATAATATAGGGGTGTTGATGGGACCAGCAGTTGGCGTAAGGCTATGTAGCTGGACTTCCATGCAGTCGACTGCAGTTCGAGTCCCGGACCTGGTGACTTAAACTCACACCACGTGCATGTGTGTGCATGCCCAAGATCCCAAGAGGAGAATGGAGGAGAAGGGATTGCGGTGTGGCCATCCCCCCTGGGGGATGATTTCTTGCTTTCTGGCTCTCTTTCTCTCTTTCTGTCTTTCTGGTGAGTGCACACACCATACAGTAAAAACCTTTTCTCCCCTCTCCCCAAAAATAGGGGTGTTGAGAAAATTAATTTCTTTTGACAGTGAATGAAAAAAATTTCTTCCATCCAGCATTGGAATCACCATAGCCTGGAGATTAAGGGTTACAACATGGAGCATGATATTGAATCCTTATAGTTAAAGGAGAATCACAGGAGAGATTCTTACAAAAGTCAGTTTTATGATGAGATATGAAACAAATATAAATCTGATTCTACCTGACTTGAGTGTTTTTGTTTCACTTTGTGATTTGTAATTTTTACAAATGATAATGTCTACTGCACCGTCTTGCTTTCTCTCAAGTGTTTGTCAACGGCTTCTCAAAAAGTTTATCATTTATAATTTGTGACCTGTGATTTCAACTCTACTTTTTTGGTAATGGCTTTATTGAGATAACAACTCACACCTTTAAAATACAGAATTCAGAAGATTTTTTAAATGTTCACACATTATAGTTAATATGTAAATTAAAATTAATATGTACCACAGTTTTGGTATTTTTCATCAGCTATACATTTTTTCATACATATTTTTTATTTATTTTTAATTTGCTATTGGGCACATGCACTTGCTGAAGACAGAGAAGGAAAGTGAGACAGCAGCCACTGTAGGGGTAGCCATGCTGCGGTCCCTTCTCTGTTCTTCTCTCAAGATTTTGGGCATACATGTGCATGTATGCACATACGCACACAAATGTGTCCAGAGTCCTTTTCAAGTTGCTGGTTCTGAGACTTGAACCTTGCAGTCAGCCTGGTGGAATCCAGCAGCCTTAACCATCATGCCACCAGCTGACCCAGTCAACCATATTTTTAACCACGACTCAAAATATTTTGTGCTTAGAATTTCATACACACACACACACACACACTCTCTCTCTCTCTCTCTCTCTCTTTTATATTTTTACATTTATAGCCTACTACCTCTTGCACTTGGTATGCATTCAATAAAAGTTTTATCTTCCTTTGTTGGCTGAATGGGCTATCACACACAAGGAATCAATTTGTTTTATACTTAAGTCAATTATAGATCTGATTGTTGTCACTGGAGATTTTTTCCCCTAAAGAATTATTTTATTTAACTTTAGTTATTTAAATTTGATCAGATAGGGACAGAGATAGAGAGAGATATGGAAAGTGAGAAAGCAAGCCGCCAGATGTGGTATTCGAACCATAGTCGGCCATGTGGGAGTCCAGCGCCTTTAACTACCATGCCACCTGCCAGTCCCTATCACTAGAGATATAATTGGTTGAAATAGAATTTAATGTCAGGAAATATGAATAAGTAGGTCATCAGGTACCAAATACTTAATTGAAAATAAAATTTTATAAACCTGCTAGTATATCACTGATCCTGGGACTTACCCTCCACCATCGAATATATCTTAAATTCATTAAATATGAAGGTGCTGGACTTTGGTTCCTTCAAGAAATAAAACAATAATGAGATGTTTTTATTTTCTTTCATAGTGGTTCTATAGATGGTAATAACCAACTAGTAATCAAAGGAAGATTCCAACAGAAACAGATAGAAAATGTCTTAAGAAGATATATCAGTAAGTATATAATTTTGCTACATCACTCTGAAATGTTCTCATCAGGATGCAGTATTGTAGGGCAAACCATTTCTAACAAGTCTGAAAAAGCTTACTTTAAAAGTCAGGGGGAAAATGAAAGTGATGGGGAGATGGGGCAAGAAGGTAGCTGATTAGCACTGATTAGGGGTGCAGAGAAAAGGGGGTTGGGTTTCCTAAGAAATGAGCTGATCGCGCAGCTGGTTGATTCTGGGTTTAAGGCAGTGTCAGAGAAACCCTGCCTGTGACTCATACCTGACCTGGCCCTTTCTTATTAGTCACATCAGATTGGTATATTTGTTCCCACTTAGTGGGGCTAGTAAGTTTTCTGAGTGGCTGGCAAGAATAGGGAGCTGGCAAGCTTCCCTGCATCCTGGGACATTTGGAGTCTTTTTTTTTTTTTTCCCCCTTATTTTTAAGATTTTGAGAGGTTTTTGCTATAAGGCCCTCACTAGAGAGACAGAAAGTGAGAAATCACCCACCAGGGGGATGGCCACACCACAGTCCCTTCTCCATTCTCCTCTCGGGATCTTGGGCATGCACGCACACGGCCTGGCGTGAATTTACGCCACCAGGTCTGGGACTGGAACCGGGGTCGACCACATGGGAGTCCATTGACATAGCCATTATGCCAACTGCTGGTCCCAAGAATTTTCTTTTCTTTTTTATTGAGACCCAGCAGATGGTATAATAGTTATGTCTCTAGATTCTCACATAGTTGACTGGTTTGAGTCCTGGACCTGGCAGCTTAAAACTCACGGTGGATGCATGTGTGTGCATGGCCAAGATCCCAAGTAGAGAATGGAGAAGGGAGCATGCAAAAGATCACAAGTAGTGACTGGAGAAGGGATTGCAGTGTGGCCACCCCCCAGGGGGGTGATTTCTTGCTTTCTATCTGTTTCTCCGGCAAGTACACACACCCCATAGCAAAAATCTCTCCTTAAAAATAAGACAAAAACTATTTTTTACTTAATTTTATTCATTATTATTATATTTTTAAAACTTGATTGTGTGGGGAGGAGAAAGCAAGCCGGGACTTGAACTGTGATCAGCCATTTGGGAGTCCAGCGCCCCAACCACCATGCCACCTGTTGGTCCTGGAGTTAAGAGGTTTTAGGATGTGTGTGCTCATGGGGTAGGGTGAGTGACAGACAGAGACAGTGAGAGGCAAAGTGAGAAATCACAATCCAGGGGGAATAGCAATTATGTAATCCTTTCTTGGGCACACATGCACACCTCCCCACCCCCCAGCCTTTCAAGCCACCAGGTCTGGGACTCAAACCATGATTGGCCAGTGGGAGTCATCTCCTGGCTCTCCTAGAGTCTTTTTCAACATGTTTTAGTCCCAGAAGCATCATAGCAGATAGTTGGTGGGTTTTTTTAACCTCTAGAATAACTAAGTTTAGCTAAAATTTCCTGGTCAGGATGCCCAGGTAAACCTGTCAGTCACTGTAGCATGGGGTTGTACAGTTCAGTGTAGAGTTATTTCAGAGGGCAGAAGTCTCTGCTTCATTCTGGCCACCTGTTAACACTATATATATTGATTTTTTTTTTTTTTTTTTAACAGAGGAATATGTCACTTGTCACACATGCCGATCACCGGACACAATCCTGCAGAAGGATACTCGACTCTATTTCTTACAGTGCGAAACTTGTCATTCTCGATGCTCTGTTGCCAGTATCAAAACTGGCTTCCAGGCTGTCACAGGCAAGCGAGCACAGCTCCGTGCCAAAGCTAACTAATTTGCTAATCACCACTGATTTTGCAGTGTCTTGTGGAGATTTGGCTGGACAGGTTTACCATCAGAATGGATATACTATTGTGTTAAAAACAAGATAGAAAAGCTCCCAAGTACTTTGGCGAGTGGTTGGTTGGTCGAAATCCTCGCAAGATGCCGATGCTCAAGCTGTTGACATACTCATTGCGTACTTTAACAACTGTCAGAGAAACAGTGATATGGGGTAAGGAGATGCTTTTTTAAAATCGTTCATAGACTTGTGTAAAATGCAAGGTAAATTAAAGTTATTATAACAGTGATTCTTTCAATTTGGTTTGTCCTTCAGTTTTTCTTTTCTATAAAATTTGTGCTTGGTTAATTCAGCAAAAGGTTTGTGTTCAGGCTCTGGCGAGGTGTCTATGTATTCTGACACGACTTTGGCAAGCACTTCAGCAAGGTAGCCATTTCTTATTAATTTCCTGAGATTCATAGTTGAAGACACAGCCTCCTATGAGAGGATGGTTGGAGCATGAGATTGGGAGGACGGCCTGTTTTCAGTGTCCAATGGGATGACTACATAGATTTGAATGATTATTCTTATGTGAGGATTGTTGCTACTACCTCAGAGAAAGACAGAAGAAAAGTGAGAAATCACCATCCAGGGGGAATAGCCATGATGCAGTCCTTTCTTGGGCACACATACATACATCCCCCAACCTTTCAAGCCACCGGGTGTGGGACTCAAACCATGATTGGCCAGTGGGAGTCCAGCAACTTAAATCACTATTCCTTCTCCTGGCTCCCTTAGTCTTTTTCAACATGTTTTTCTATCTTGTTTTTACTACCTCAATGCCAGCCCTCCAGCTGTTGCATGAGGGAATAAAAGGTGCTCAGGAACCTTCCTCTTTAGAATTCTCTTCCTTATTGACTACTAGGAGAGGGGGGGAAGCCTCTAAGTATGTCTTGTAACTGACACACTAAGAAAAATCCTAGTTAGTTATCTGGGTAAGGAAGCAATGTGGTATGTGCAGTATAGGGACCTCTTTAGAGAGTCCAAATGGTGATGCTAGAGGAAAACTTTTCCTCTGCAACTCATGTTCTGAGTTTGAAAAATGCCTACTATAAACACTTTTCTAATTCTGGCATTCAAGTAGTCCCACCACAAACACTTATATATTTCTTGGTTTAAAGTAGCTTTTGAATGTGACCCTGAGAAACTAAGAGATGTTGCTTATGTGGTGTTTCTGGTCCTCCAGTTCTGCCTCCTGAGGATTTGGCTAGGGGACGGCACTTCTTGGAGAAGGCCATCTTACATGTCTATGCTATGGTCTGCCTTGCTTGAACTTGCTGAAGATAAGGGCATATACAACGTTCCTCACTCCCATTACCAAACTGTTCATACTAAGTGGCCCAGGAGCAGTCACTCACCCCTGAATATCTTGCCATTTTTTTTTTTTTTAAATCACTGTGACCCTTCACATTAAAATACAGGCCAAGTAAGTATTGTCAGGTAATTTTGGTGTGAAGTATGGTAGAGGGAGCTTTCCCTCAACACAGTAGGCACTCCTGATGGAACCACACACTGGCTGAGCTGCCACCACTGCCATGACAAACCCAATTGCTGTTAATGACCCCATTGTCTTTTTTTTATATCCATGCCCACACAATTCACAATGTTGAATATTACTGCATGAATAAAGCAAGGATCAGTGCCTCTCATGCAATTAGCACTCCAATACTTTTGTGTGTATGTTTTATTTCTTAGTGGGACTAGCAGAAGGAATGAGACTTTACAGTTTGGTAACAAGCTTTTATTATTTTTTAAAAAGGTTTTTGCTGGGTACGTGTACTCGCCAGAGAGAGAGAGTGAGAAGGAAAGTGAGAAATCTCTCCCAGGAATGATGGCCACACTGCAGTCCCTTGTCCTCCATTCTCCTCTCTGGGTTTTGGGCACACACGCACACATTCAGCGTGTTGAACCCTTGAGGTCCAGGACTTAAACCACAGTCAGCACCACCGACTGGCCCCTTTCAGCCTGTTTTTTACTTCAATCTAAATGCAGTCTCAGGACTGATACTGCTACTTTAAAATACTATAGTTGAGATACTCTTTACTTAAAATAGAATTGACTCTGGACTGATGGGTTGGGACTGGCTCTGGCACAGGGGTAATGGCTCAAGGGTGTAGAGAGCAGCCAATTTGAAAATGCGTGATGAAAACATGTGGCCTGTAGACACATGCAGAAATGCATTTTGTTAGCTACTTTAGCAGGACTATTGAATAGCATTTATATACGAAAGCAGTATTTGCTGTCAATGGTTATCTTCCTGTTGTTGATACCCAGTTGATACCCCAATACTTGGCAATATCGGGCTAAAGGAAGTCACATGCGTTTATCAAATTGTCCCCCAAAAAAGATCAGAGAAATTATTTGGTGCCAGTCATTTTCACATCTTCAAACAATTTACATCCAAAAACTGGCTTTGCATTCCAATTTCTCCTCCCCTATTCTCTTTGAATTCCACTTCTTCCCCATTGCCTTTGCATCCCATTTTCCCCTTCTCCCACTTTCTGCCCTTGAAAAGAATAAACCTGAGGCTGGTTCTGGTTGCAACTTCATCAGAGAGGCTTTGCCCACCCAATCTTGATTTTTCTATACTTGCGTGTCTTTGTGTGTTTATTATTATGTCTATTTCTTTCTCTTTTTTTTTTTTTTTTTGGTTCTCTTTTTTGGAGAGGTTTTCACTATAGGGGGTGTGCGTTCACCAGAAAGCAAGAAATCACCCCCAAGGGGGGCTGGCCACGCCACAATCCCTTCCATTCTCCTCTCGGGATCTTGGGCACACATGCACATGAAGGATTTGAACCACGGTAGAGTACATGGTAGTCCAGCAACATAGCCATTATGCTATCTGCTGGTTCCTATTATGTCTGTTTCTAATCCACAGCCTTCCCCACTCAAAAAGAGTGTATATGCCAAGCTGGTCCCAGCAAAGTGGTGCCCAACATGGGGCCTGAGTATGGGGAGTCAGGCAAATGAACACTCCTTGTAGCCAGCCAAATATTATTGTTGTTATTTTCTTTTTTGGAGAGGGTTTTGCCATAGGGCGCTTGCGCTCGCCAGACAGAGACAGAAAGTGAGAAATCACCCCCCAGGGGATGGCCACGCCGCAATCCCTTCTCCATTCTCCTCTTGGGATCTTGGGCACGCATGCACAAGCGCCCGGCATGAGTTTAAGCCACCGGGTCCGGGATGCGAACCGCAGTCGACTACATGGGAGTCCAGCGACACAGCCATTACGCTAACTGCTGGTCCCAGCCAGCCAAATATTATTAAGTAAAGTAAAAATCCTGTTAAAAAAAAAAAAAAAAAAAGTAAAATAATATCAAAGTCAAAAAAATCATAAAGCAAGAGGAGTGGAGTCTATTATTGTTAAACATAAAACATAAACACATAATTTCCCTTGTCCACACAAGGGAAACTGGATCTCATATAGTGACTGTGATTTAAATCCCCAGCCTGATCAACTTGAAACATGTAAAAGTAACTAAGATTTGACTGGAAATAGATTGTGATGTGGCCAGACCCAGTAGGGGGGTTTCTCTACACACACACACACACACACACACACACAGTATTTCTCGGATGTATACATACATGTGCTCTATCAAGAGTAAAAGAAAAAAAAATGTGTTAAGTAATGGGTTACCCTAGATTACCCTATACACAATAGCATCATCCTTCTGTCTCTACTACTACTCACCACCCACAGCTCAGATGGAAAACCTTTGCTGTAGAGTGACAAAGCAAAGGCAATGGAGGGAGCCATACATATAACCTCATGCTGTAATGGTGACAGAGATCAAGCACTGTGTGGTAAGAGAGCAAACACAAGGTGCCTGATATGGCAGGGTAGTTTTGTTTAAGGTTGCACTACAAGACAGAACCAATGAATACACTATAAGATGAAGGTGCCATTTAAGGAATTATCCCACAAGAAGGAACCAGAACATCATTTCCAAAGTGTTCCTACAGTGCTCCCTAATTATGCAAAGGAAAGAAGGGTTCCATGGTAGAGGTTTGAGAATAAATTTCTTTCCTAACTGCCTAAGGAAAGTTTGGTATGCCATTGTGCCCTTTCATTAGGACCTAAACATGCAGTTACAGCTTTACCCTTTAGAAAACCTTGACTTTATACACATCACTCCCGCCTATAGAAAGACTTAAGCTTTTCCCAAGGTACCCTCTTGGCTCACTACCAAACTCCTTCAAGTCCTTGCCCACTAGTAAGATACAGTTTCTTCCCCCAGCACACTGAAATGTGTTGAGTTTTGTTTCACTCACTCATTTATCTTCAGCCCTGAGAGCGAACAGTGCCTAAAAAGATGTAGATGTGACATAAATAATTTAATTTGACTTTCAGTCTTTATTCATGATAGAGAACATTCATGCACACATGAGAAATGAGTACCTTCCCCAGGGTCTGGTCAGTTGCTATTCCCTTTTTCCCCGTCCTCTAGACCATCAGATCCTGTGTACTTGTGCATGTACCCAGTGTGTTACAGGCTGACTAGACTGGGCATTTGAACTTCGACTGTCACCTGGCATCTGGTTTCCCTTGAGGAGCACATTACCCCTGTGCCACAAAACTGGCCCTGAATGAGTTCCTCTAGAGTATAGATAGCATAGGAATTTGTAGCCCATGTCATCTCTCTCTCAAGCATCTTGTAGGCTAAGTGTTCTACAGAAAAAAATGCTGGGTTGGACAGTCTGGAAGAAATGCTGCCATGGAGACTGAGGCCCCAGCTCTGTACTTGGGCTTCCCAATCTAGAACTTTTGTCCCGACAATGCTAAGTTTTCACATTTGAATAGAACATTAGACTTTACAACATGTTTTTAGAAGTTGGACTTTGTAGCATGTGGTAGTCTTCTTTAATTGAGAATATCAGAAATGCAAATGAAAATAAGAATTCCCATAATCCTACAATCATACCTTTTAGTATCAAGGCCATTTTTCTAAGCTAGTACAATCTTCATAATTTTTTTTCTTAAAGAATTATTTAATTAATGAATTTATTTTGACCAGAGAGAAACAGGGCAAGCAAGTGAGTGAGAGGAAGTGAGCAAGCAAGCTGCCAGGTCTGGGACTCGAACTGTGGTTGGCCATGTGAGAGTCCAGCACCCTTAACCATCATGCCACCTACTGGCCCCCAATCTTCATAGTTTTAAGAGACTGCTTAGTCAATCCATGTTATCCCACAGTTTGTTAAATCAGTTAACACTTTAAGGTGGGTGCCTAGTAATTCTTGATGTTCTGAGTACTGGCT